AATAGGAACTAGAATTGATTGATTGATATCTAATTATTCAATAGCATCGCGGAAAACTTAAAATTATCTTTGATACATTTTTTTTAAAGATCATTCTGTAAAATATTTCATACTTTTTATCTTCAACAGCACCAATTGGTGGTGTAGCACCTAATGCTTTTTGCATAATATCATGACGTGCTTGTAAGCGTGAGATTAAATTACTGCTTAATGTATATTGTTTAAATTTCTATTGAATACAAAAAAAACAACAAATTTATATGTATAGAAAATAAATCGGGTCTTTAATTTATACCTCAACATAATAATCTTCGATTTCTATTCGTGTATTTTTTGAAGTATTTTGTGGTAAATTAAGATCTTTAAATAGATCGGAAACATCAGAATTTTTTGTATTGATATATTCCATAAGTGATTGTTCAGTAGCTTCAATTGTTTTAAAAATCTATGATATACAAAAAAAAAACACGCACATATTGATTATGTTCGGAAAAAAAAACTTTTTATTAATACTTATAAGAGAATATATACAACTGTCGAACGCTGTTCAGTTTCATATTATGCCTGTGAGTAAGTCTCAGTAAAAGTAAGACAAGCTTCAAAAAGCATTCGGACCCATAATCGACTGATAAAGAGTTATGGTCGTTTGAATAAAATTTTTACTGAGAATAAAATCCACTTACTCTCAGTAAAAATTTCCTTGAAATAGCCATAACTCTTTCTCAGTGGGTCATGGGTTCGAATCCTTTTAAGTTTCCATTAGTTTCATCGAGACTTACTCGTAGCCATAATATAAAGTTTAGCGGCGTCCAACATTTGTATTAGGTTAGTAGTTAGCATAACTTTCTCAATAGAAAAGAATATTTCTCTATCGCGAAAAATGAACAGGAGACTACAAGCTATTGAGAGTTGCTGACAGTTAGTGAAAAAGTAGCCTAGAAAGTAAGCTCGAAGGTAAAAAAACCTTTACTTTAGACTGAATTTAATTCCTGATGAATGGCTAACTTATCGTAGCCATAATAAATTCATTCGATATAATCCGAGGCTCTTACTATAAGCCATCTCCTTCCCATATTAAAAGGTTTCGCTACGAGCAAAGCTTCAAAGATGCTATCAGATGTCGTCTGGGTATAAAAAAATGTTTTAATAATCTCTAGTAATCATGTTCACTTTTTCGTCGATATTTGAGATCATAGTCACTCTGTACTTTGTTACTGCTATTTTGTCTGGTAACAGGTATCTCTTTGGTAACACTCACACTCAAGTCATATTAGCAGTTCCTTCCCTAAAATTTTTGAGTATTTCAACATTTTGGATGCCCCCAAGGGCTTCTTAGCCTAAAGGAAAATCTGTTCGAAACAATACGTTTATATATATATATATTAACATCAATTATCTACTGATTTGTTTTTCAAAGCGAAGTCTCAACAATATTAATTATTACAAAACAAACCTCATCATGTTCAGTTTTTAATGAAGCAAGTCGATTTTGCATTTGTTTAAAACGTGATTGCATATCATCGCGTATTAATACTTGAGCATTAACAGTTGCTACTTCATCACCTTTATGTGGTTCAAATTTAATTTTTTTCGGTATTGTAAATATTGATGAATAAGATTCTAAATATTTTTGTTTATCAATAACTGTATCTAAATCTCCAATTGCTCGATTTAATGTTTCAATTGTCCTTAACAAAAAACGTTTAATTAAGGAAAAAAAAAACAAAGAAATACACCTACATTTGTCGACCACGTTTAATATTATCTTGTGCTGATAAATACATTTGAATACATTTTGCTATTGATGTATGAAAACCAAAATTCATACAATCAATTAAATCAGGTACATCATCAGAACAATATTTTTGTAATGCAGCATTCACAGATTCAATTGTCATTATATAATCATTACGTGCTTTAAATGCTTTTACTTTTGTTTCAGTATATTTCATTTGTCTCTATAATACATTAAAATATTCTTTCCTTTTCCGAAGAAAGTTTTCTAATCAAAGGCTGAATTATTTTTGAGAAGACACAGTGTGTAACCATAACAGGAAGTTCACCTAACCAGCTAAACTATCTGTCACAAGTCCTTCCGTCAGGCGGAGTTCTCGAGTTACACTACTATCACGGTGATTGAGTTGTAAAAAAGGGTTCAATCTACGTCCCCACCAAGTATTTAGACTATTCCGAAAGCGAACATTAATTTTTAAGCATCTTTGCGACTAGTGTCGTAACAAAGAGTAGGTCAGGCCGAACATTGCTCTTGCATTGTTAGTCTTTGCCCTACTTCCCAAAATAAAAAGCTGCTACAAATAAGAAAAATTTCACAAGACATACTAGAAGATGATGGATTGTCCAAAAGTCTTATTTGGAAATCCAGCGAATTACAGTATCTAAAAACTCTGCTTCTGAATATCAGAAAAGTTTCTCAAAAACTCTTTTAGCAAAAGACTAGTCCGAAATAGAGAAGAAAAAATTAATAATTGCCATCATTTACATTATTTCTTATGAATTTTTTAGAAAAGTCATAGAGCACTGCCATACTATCTACAATTTCCTCCTGGTTATGCTACTACGTACAACGAGAATTTATCTTTAAATTGTCTATTAAATATTCGAACGATACTAAAAGTTGAGACCGACGAATCCGAAATGCATAATCTAAAGTCGAAAAAATCAATCTACGATCACGACAGCAGTAGACAATGGATATTTCTCACATATGGATGAAAAATGAATTCAAAAATTTGGTTAAGATCCCTGAAAAAAATCACTTTTTCAGAAAAGACATGATTATTAGATACTCCGATGTGTACTTTCATAATCATTATGACTTTGAACTATCTTCCTACTAAAAGCAAAGTTTTTCTTACAGCAGGACTAGCGAGAGAAGAAAAGCACAGCAAAGCGAGTTTCTACACCCTAATGTCTTGTGTAAAATAAACTTTTTCCATCGAATCGACTAAACATTGTATGTAGATACGATAGACACTAGAAAATGAGTGTTATAAATACACTACAATTGCTGTAGCACTAGAGCTCGGTCGAACCTTACTTCAAATTTGGTGACAAGCGCACTCTACACATCTCTCAGATGAGTACAGACTATCGAGTCCAAAATTTTCGAACCTATATCCGAGCTCAGGAGTAATCCGACGGACTCTACTGATCTCCTTCTCGTACAATTCATTACTACAATAAATCTTGGAATTTTCTCAAGTGATTTGTATATACTTTTTCAACACGTTTTTCCATAGCTTTTTGTTTTTTTGCATTTTTAATTTTAGCTATTTGTTGTAGAATATTGCGTAATTTTTGTTCAGCTTGTTTACTTTCACTTTGATATTGATGATAAGTTTTCATTGTCTAAATAAATATTTTATAAATATAAGATCATCAACCAAAAAAATATTACTTACACTTTTTAATTCATTAAGAACTTTATATATATCTTCATGACTAGCTAAACCAACTGATTTACACTATAGAAAAAGAAAAAATATTAAAAAAAAAAAACCGAGATTTTTTTTGTTGTGTTTTAATTTTTACTTTCATAAACATTCGTCGTGTATCGTCAGCTATTTCATTAAATTTATCATGCATATATTTTCCACAAATATCCGACATAATTGTATGATATTTAACATGACTACGAGTATCTTGAACCATAGTTTCCCAAAGATTATAAATCGATTGAAAAAACCAAGTTTCTCGTCTATTAAAATGAAATGAAATTTTCTTTTTTTTTTTTTCGAAACAAAAATATTTTACCTTGCTTTTTGTGCACGATGTTTTTGATTAATTTGTTTATGTAAATTATCTAAATTTTTTGCATAATCAAATTCAACATCAGCACGACGACGAAAATATTCTTGAATTTCACTAAGTATTGATAATTGTGTTTCAATACGTTGTTCCAAACATTTTAATTGTTCATTTAATTGAAAATGTATGTCTAATTAAATACAAAATATACGTAAATTTGTAAAAAATAAAAAAAAAAACTCAAGTTTCCTACAAAATCTATAACGATCATAATTTTTTTTTAATAAACTTAATTGTGAATTTGTCGTACGAGACAAATTTCTTTTTGTTGATGTTATACCACATATATAATTCATCATTGTATTTAAAAGAGAACACACCCTGTCGAATTTAAATGTATCACTCAATGAATATGTCGATTGTCATCTATTAAGAATGATCGCAAACCTTTTGTTCATTGCTTTCTTTCTTTCGCATACATATATATATACACGAAAGAAGAACAATGTTAAATTGCAATGAACTAAAAAAGTTCAACATTTATTAGGCGGTCAACTCCTTTCATTATATTTATGAGTTATTCATTAAAAAGTCTCTTTTTCTTCTTTTTTGTTAAATCAAAAGGTAAATGTACATTATGACATATGTAGATAATATTTTGAATTATATCTGATGCAATGTAAGTAACAAAAAAAAAAAGAATAGATCATCATCATATAGAAGAAAAGATGTACGAGAACTTCTCAACGATAACATCCGTTAAAAGTATTAATGCGTGATTAGACAAGCTCTTAATAAGATCTTTCAATTAATGGCTTCAGGCTTGTCATGTCATGTCATTAACTACTTTCTATTATAATCCCTTGTATTTATTTTTCTTTTAGTCTCTTTTGTTATTTTTCTCTATACACAAATCGATCTAATATTTCTTTTTCTTTTTTTCTTTTATTCTTGACTTATTAACTTCAATTCATCATCATCATCATCATCAATATCGTCTATTCATTTCAATAGTAAAGCGCATTATAACACACGTACGATTGTTGATATACAATATCCTGTACAAACGTAGATACTTAATCAAAGAATAGAAAGTTCGTACATATATATGTGTGTATGTTTTGTCTTTTCGAACTTAATTTCTTTTTCTTTTTCTCATATATCCATTCCAAATACTATGCATATATATATTAAAGAAAGCGAATAAAATATTTTATAACTGATTGGATTAAGTTTGAATATTTAAAAAAAAAAGAAAAACAAATACCTTTAACAATTTGATCAAATTCAAATAA